TGGGGACCATATAAGATTCCTACATTTGATAAGAAACATTACTTCTTGACAATTGTTGATGATTATAGCAGATATACATGGATTCATTTACTGCAGCTTAAATCTGAAACTATTGTAGCCATAAAGAATTTCTTATTAATGATTAAGAACCAATTTGGTCACACCATAAAGACAGTAAGATCAGACAATGGGACTGAGTTCTTCAACTCTCAGTGCAAGGAGTTATTCCTGAATTTGGGTATCTCAGATCAGAGTAATTGTCCTCACATACCACAGCAAAATGGTGTGGTAGAAAGGAAACACAGGCATATTTTGAATGTAGCTAGGGCAATCAGATTTCAGGCCTGCATGCCCCTCAGATATTGGGGTCTTTGTGTCAAAGCAACAGTATATCTCATCAACAGATTACCAACACCAACACTTAATGGTGGCAAGAGTCCTTATGAGATGATGTTCTCAAAATCCCCTAACCTTGGTCATTTAAGAGTCATAGGATGTCTTGGCTATGCATCAGTTATTCCAAGGAATGACAAGTTATCAGAAAGGGTAAAGTCTGTTGTTCTGATGGGGTATTCAGAAACTCAAAAAGGGATATTTGTTATTGGACCTACACACAAACAAGCTTCTGGTCAGTAGAGATGTTGTTTTTCAAGAACAGATATTTCCATTTGCTTCTCCACAACTTCCTAAAGAACCTGTTACAAGTGTGTCACCTTAATGTTTGAAGATCCTGCCTATCTGGAAGTGGTAGTACCAGAGGATTGCCCAAGGATTGCCCACCTGTTGTTCCTGTGGTTGCAGAGATTGGTGATGAGCCTGCAGAGATATTACCCAACATTGACAACTCAGTTGACACAGCTGAGTCAATAGATGCCCAACCACCTGAAACTTCTATTAGGAGGTCTACCAGGACAACTAGACCACCTATATGGATGACAGATTACTCAGCTCCTACAAAGGGACATAGTAGCAGGTATCCCATTGCTAATCATCTCAGTTATACTCATGTGTCATCAAAGTATCACAGCTATCTTGCCAAGTTTTCAACCTTAACTGAGCCTCAGACCTTTAAACAAGCTAGTACTGATGATAGATGGATTGATGCTATGAAACTTGAAATCAAGGCACTTGAAGACAACAAAACCTGGATGGTAGTTGATTTGCGTAAAGACAAACATGCAGTTGGTTCTAAGTGGATCTAATGGTGAGGTGGAAAGGTTCAAGGCCAGACTTGTAGCCAAGGGCTATAGTCAACATGAGGGAATACACTACCATGACACTTTTTCTCCAGTTGCAAAAATGGTTACTGTTAGATGTGTCATTGCTTTAGCTGTTTCAAAAGGCTGGTCTCTTTATCAAATGGATGTATACAATGCATTTTTACAAGGTGACGTGGATGAGGAGGTTTATATAGAGATGCCTGAAGGTTTTAGAACTCAAGGGACCACTAAAGTTTGCAAGTTGATCAAGTCCTTGTATGGCCTTAAGCAGGCCTCTAGACAGTGGAACATCAAGCTCACCAACACTTTATTATCAGCAGGCTTCATTCAAAGTTCTCATGACTACTCCTTGTTCACCTTGAAGAAGCCAGAGGGGATGGTTATCATTTTGATATATGTTGATGACTTACTCATTACTGGGGACAATGAGGCACTGATCAAAGAAGTAAATGAGACATTGCATAAACAATTCAAACTTAAAGATTTGGGAGAGCTTAAGTATTTCTTGGGAATTGAGGTGTTAAGATCCAAGAATGGCATCATTCTGAATCAAAGGAAGTACATGTTAGAGCTGATTTCTAATACTGGTTTAAGTGGTGCAAAAACAACAGCTACTCCATTAGGATCCAATTTGAGATTAACCTCAGTGGAATTTGATAAGGCTACTGGATTACATGGAGATGATGTATTAACAGATTGCTCAGCTTATCAAAGGCTGGTAGGCAAGTTAATGTATGCCACAATTACTAGACCTGACATCAGTTATGCTGTTCAGACACTTAGTCAATTTATGCAACATCCGAAAAGGTCCCATTGGGAAGCAGCTGCCAGGGTGGTGAGGTATCTGAAAGGAACAGTTGGCCAAGGTATTTGGTTGAAGGCTCAACCTACCACAACATTGACATGTTGGTGTGATTCAGATTGGGCTGCTTGCCCTAAAACTAGAAGATCAGTTACAGGGTATATTGTAAAGTTTGGAGAGTCTATAGTGTCATGGAAATCAAAGAAGCAACAGACAATATCTAGAAGCTCAGCTGAAGCTGAGTATAGAAGCATGACTTCAGCTGTAGCAGAAGTAACTTGGTTGATAGGGCTGTTCAAAGAGCTTAATGTGTCTATTCAGATGCCAATCACAGTATTGAGTGATAGCAAGTCTGCCATTCAGCTAGCAGCAAACCCTGTGTTTCATGAAAGGACCAAACACATTGAAATAGATTGCCACTTCATTCGAGACAAAGTCAAGGCTGGTGTAATCCAAACAGTGTATTACTTTTGTTAACAAAAGGGTTGAATCATACTCAACACTTGCATTTGTTAGGCAAGCTAGGTGTGCTTAACATTCTGCACCCTTCAGCTTGAGGGGGAGTGTTGAATTCCCATTTTCTGTTATTACTGTACACAGTTGGCTATAACTGTTTAGAAGTAGTTAGTATGGGATTAATCAGTTAGTGGGTTAAAAGGGTAATTAGCTGTAATTGGATAGGGAATCAAAGTTAGTTAGAGAATGTATTTCTAGTGGATTGAATCTAAAATATAAGTATAAATAAGGCACAATTGTAACACTGAGCAGATGATGAAATAAAACGATTCTTCTTCCTCTTTTTTAATTCAGTTTTCTTCCAGAACCTTCAATGGTGAAATGAGGTCTTTAGCTTAGAATTTTCACAGTTATTCCTTAAATATGACAATTCCTACAGGTACCACGATTTACTAATTTTGTCTCTGCTGTTGCTATTGATCGCAGGTTATATCTGCATTCTTTGACTTAAGCACAAAACCAGTCTGCTCATAGTTCACTACAGCAGTATGAAGAAGCTGGGATAGGCCAACAGCCAAATATAAAGTCAACAGCTCTGAGGTATACTGCTATCTCTATTTGAATTTTTACTATGGCAGTTTCTGAAACTCTGGTTGGTGTACCACTTGTACCTTGTTAAAATTCAGCTCTTCTAATCCTGATCCATCTTGCCTCTAGCTTTGCATTTAATTTTGACAGGGAATATCTATTGTGTTGGTTCACTTGCTTTTATAACACTTATATTAACTTACCTTTGAGACATGAAATTGACAAGCACTCTTTAATAATCATTCTTCAAATGTGAAAAATAATGGACTGATAAGTTCTCTTTAAGCAAGGCTAATTTGGTTCTTAGAGATTTGATATGAGGATTCTGTAATAGATAAGGGACAATTTGTTGAAGCTTAAGCAATTTAAAACTACTAGTTTACTTCTAGACACTCCAGTGGTTTAGGAATTTGGTTTCATTTGAAATGGTAGCGTTACTCAGAAACTTTCTGAGTATTAATATATTCTTCACAAGACACTCTAATGGTTTTGGAATTTGGTGTAGCTTTACTCAGAAACTTCCTGAGCATTAATATATTCTTCACAAGACAACACTCCAGTGGTTTAGGAATTTGGTTTGTTTTGAAATAGTAGCTTGTGAAAAAGTTTGAGTATTCAAGTCAAAATCCGAAGAACAATCAGTGAAGTAGTTTGCGAATATTATAAATCATGTGGAAGCCTTTACACTATCTATGTTGGATTATCGTATATTTCTAACATAACCCCGCTCTAGGTTAAATAAGTATTTATTTTTTTCTTTTTTTTGTTTCTCATCTGCTTGATTCTAAGGAACCTGCAGTTGCTCAGCAAGCTGAAGGTTGTCTTGGAGAGAGTAAAGCAAGAAGCTCAATGTGCATCATTGAAAGAGAGAGCCCCGGAGCAACGTAATAGGCAGAGACTATACACAAGTGGCTAAAATTGGAGAGCAAACAGTTGTGGGAACAGACTTATGGGTGAAGGAACGAGCTAAGAAACGTTTGGCTTGTGACTTACAAACGAGAAAATAAGCTTGCAAAAGTTTATCTCTGATACCATGAAAAAAGTCGAGCATCCTCATAAAAATTTAAGGCTATAGGTGGAGTAGTCCGCGAGTAAAATCAATCTAATTGATTAACCTTTATACATCTTGGTGTGATGTTTTAATCTTCACACATCTTTTTTTTTTCTTTTTTCACATCTCATTCTAATGAATCTTAATTTTCTCAATAGCTCCTCCCATTGTTTAAGAGTTAATGGAGTTGTTTTTCTTTATTTTCGGGCTGATTGGATTTAATTTTAATTTTTAACCTATGTCATGATGACATATTCTTTGATGGCATGATTGGTGCCTTGATATCCTTTGAAAGAAAAATCTCCAATACAATATGAAAATTTGAAAAGAACAACAATAGTATAATGAAGGCAGAAAGCAGCCATGACTTTTAAATTTGGACTTGGACAAACAAAGTGGCGGGTGACAGACAACCTCTAGATTAGTTAAATGCGGTTCTCTATATTTGAAATTTTAGTATCACTTATTAAAAAATAAACTTTTCTTTATTTGTTACAAATACTCCATTACAACACTATTCCGATAAAGACTCGTTATCATGGCTTGTTTAAAATATTAAAATGTATTGGAATCTCTTTTTTAACTAACTTTATGTCAAAATGACAGCTAAACCAAAAATATGTAATGATTATTAGAAGACAAAATAAAAAGATTAGAAGATAAAAATTTTTAAATTTATTAAATTTAAATTTCACAATAAGTTAAAATTAGATAAATAAATTAAAACGAAGTTAGAATATATCTGTGTCGGCACAAAAAAGGTGTTAATTAAGATGACAGGAAAAAAGGTTCGTCATCGCGTCCGTCAGGTCCGGCTTTCCAAAAATTTTAGTATATATATATTTGTGCTGAAAAGAAACAACAATATTGAAACTAAATAGAAAAAAAATAATATATACACAGGGGAATGCAAGTAGCGGCGATGGCGGCTCAACCAGTGATCAAGGTAGCTGGGCTTTGCGGTTCCCTCCGTAAAGGTTCCTACAATCGCGGTCTCCTCAATGCCGGTATACTTTTTTTTTTTTCGTGTTTATTTTTAAAAATTATAGTTTCAGTATATGCATTTGGTGCTTCCGTGCTTGTAATTGCAACTCATGTTGTGTGATTGTTGGGCTTAGCGATGGAGATATGCAAGGATTCTATAACGGGAATGGAGATCGAGTACGTCGACATATCGCCGTTGCCGTTTCTGAATACGGATCTTGAGGTGAACGGGACTTATCCCCCGGTCGTCGAGGCTTTTCGTAAGAAAATTGAAGAAGCTGATTGTTTCCTTTTTGCTTCTCCAGAGTATAATTACTCCATCACAGGTATCCAACTTTTTTTTTTTTTTTCATTTTTCTCTAATTGATGCTCCTTAGTCTTTAGCTACCTTGAAGTTAATTAGACTTAGAATGATTGTTAATTTTGGAAATTTTACGATTGTTAGTCTAAATTTAGGTAAAAATTAGAATAGTATGCAAGGTTCCTCGAATCAAAATTAGCTTGGTTCTGGAGAAGGAGGATAAGAACATGACAACTATGAATTGGCATTTCCAATTTATGCTTTTATTGGTCTGAGATTTGATTACTGTAGTGCTATTCCGACTTCTAAGTATGCACGGAGAATCTGAATACTTGTTATCATGCATGATTATTTATGGTGAGCCACAGAGCTTGTTATATCGAAAAAGGAACAAAAGGAAAAGAAAATTAAGAAAATGTTGAAAGCTAGCAAAAGGAAAATAAAATAAAAATAAAAACAAAGGGAAAATAATTGGTGTTCTAGATTGAGGAGATTCTAAATGGTTTTGGTGTGAATTCAACCCCATGGTCACTATTGCTAATTAAACACACATACTTAGTTGGTGCAACTTTAGCTTTTGTTTGATAGAGATTGAAGCAGGAAGATGCTTCAAATGGAAATGGTTCTTTTGCAAAAAATGATAGCATACATAAGCTGTACTTGAAACTGTTATTGTTATAGAAAAAGTTCCGCATTAGCACAAAATGATAATATGAAAAATATTTGTTATGCGTGATATTTATCTCATTTAGGTGATTTGTAGGATGAGCTTCTTTAGAAGATCAATGAGAGCAAAATTAAGAACTTGATAAGATACCCTTTATATATATATTTAAAAAAAGAACTTGATGGGATACCTAACTAAATGTATTTGGCTGTAAAACTGTGAATAAATGAATGTGGTAACTAGCTGGAACTTAACGTCCAACATCTATAGACAGCTGAAATACTCCCAAAGACTCTTCAAGTTAAGGTGCGGGAGAGATGTCTTCTCAGCTTTTCTTTCAGGTTGATATGATGAATAGTTAGTATATCTTCTCTTATGTTCTTTTATGGGTTAACTTGGTTCATCTGATTGGAGGAGTGAGATTTAAATGTGTTGTATCTGTTACTACAATGGGTGTGACCGCTTGAGTTGAGGTAATCATAGTCTGTACATCTTAATACAAACAGAGAATTTGGTCCCCTAGTTTAAATCCAAACCATTTTAATCTGAAAGTATCGTAGATTAGGCTGTGGATATGCAAGTAGCTATAGGTTGGTAAACTAGTGTTGATGGATTTTTACTTCTTGTGATGACACTCTTGGTACTGATGACTATCATTTTCCTGCTCCTTGGGTAGGACCATTGAAGAATGCAATTGATTGGGCCTCCCGACCTCCAAATGTTTGGGCTGATAAAGCAGCAGCAATGGTGAGCGCTGGAGGTGGCTTTGGTGGAGGACGGTCACAATATCACCTCCGACAGATAGGAGTCTTCCTTGATCTTCATTTCATTAACAAACCTGAATTTTTCCTGAACGCGTTCCAGCAACCACCAAAGTTTGACAGTGATGGTGTGCTGACAGATGAAGAGACCAAGCAGAGACTCAGAGCAGTTCTTTTGGCTTTACAAGCACTTGCCTTGAAACTCAAAGGCAAGTGTGAATAGTTTCTACCAGTAAATGTGGTCCATTTCTTCATCCAATGTGGATGGTAAAGAATTGACATTTCCACCTCACATGGGAAAAAATATCTACTTATAGACTTTTGAAACATCTGTTCAGTTGATTGAGCGTGTTAGCAGGATTTAAATTGTATTCAAAGTTTCATGGTGATTGATGTAATGGCTCCAACATGTTTCTGTCTTTCGTTTTCTGTTCTGTCAGCATTACAAAATATCATCAATACATATACTTCGAATAGACTAGTGGTCCAACATGTGTTCATACCCAAGTTCAGCTCACCCCTTGATACTTTTCATGGAAAAAGAAGAAAAATGACAACTTTTACAACAACTGTTTTGTTTTAGAAGTAAGTCACAGTGTCAAAACTAATCGAGTTTGAAGTCATTTTTCATGAAAAAAAATTATCGTGCATATTTTTTAATGTTAAGGATATAATTGGAAATAATTCTCAACTTAAATTTTGAATTCCTTTAATAAAATAACAATTATTTTGAAATAATATTTTTAAAACTAAAATGACAATTAGGATGGAATGAAAGGACTATACTTTTGGTATTAATAAACATGAGATGACTTGCAAGGCACGTAGCGCTTTGCGATGAACGAGGACTCCCTTTATTGCTTGACTCAAGCACACGTTCATTTGACACAATTCTTATGAAAAATTTACTTATGTGGTGGAATTCTAAATTTGACTATTTCTACTCTATGTAGTTATTTAATACTATTTGAACTTAATTTTAAGCTTAATACATTGATAACTCCTTAAATTTTTGAGAAATTTTATTTAAATACTCGAATTAGAATGTTTGTTAATTGATCACCTAAATAAATGACTAAGGACTCGTTTGGTGTAAGGGATAATACCAAATAGTCCCGGGATTAAATTATAGTACCGCTTATTTGTTGTTTGGTTGGCAAGTTCGGGATAACTTATCCCGGGATTAATAATTAGTACCGGGATAAGTTATCCCTCTCCTTGGGTGGTATAGTAATCCCGGGATAACTTATCCCGGGATAAAATAGGTAAATGACAAAAATGTCTCTTTCAACCCTTTTGTTGTATCACTTTTTACCTTAATGAAGGGCATTTTTGTAATAAATAATGTCTAAATTATATTTTGAATATAACAACCAAACACTCAATAAAAAATAATCCCAACACAACTTATCCCATCATAGCTAATCCCAACATAACTTATCCCAACATAACTTATCCCATCATAACTAATCCCAACATAACTTATCCCAACATAACTTATCCCAACATAACTTATCCCATCATAACTAATCCCAACATAACTTATCCCAACATAACTTATCCCATCATAACTAATCCCAACATAACTTATCCCATCATAACTAATCCCAACATAACTTATCCCATCATAACTAATCCCAACATAACTTATCCCAACATAACTTATCCCAACATAACTTATCCCAACATAACTTATCCCATCATAACTAATCCCAACATAACTTATCCCATCATAACTAATCCCAACATAACTTATCCCAACATAACTTATCCCAACATAACTTATCCCAACATAACTTATCCCAACATAACTTATCCCATCATAACTAATCCCAACATAACTTATCCCAACATAACTTATCCCAACATAACTTATCCCAACATAACTTATCCCATCATAACTAATCCCAACATAACTTATCCCATCATAACTCATTTTCAAACCAAACGACCCCTTAAGTGTTCTCATTTGAACTTTCAAGAGAAAACAATCTTTAGTGTCTGTTTCAAGTGGCATTACGTAGATAAGTTAACCATTTAAATATGTTATTTCTTTTAATTATACACATTAGCCTCAATAAACTGTAAAATCTCAAACATGTTTCAGTTGATGCTGATGTATATACAATAAAGGATGAGATGACATGTTTTATGTGGTTAACTTATCAACGTATTAATGGATATTTGAAAATACGTACAAACTTTTTCTTCAAAGTTTGAATAAAAAATATCTAATAATTTTTTTTTTTTTATCATACGTTCACTTACGTGGAATAAGTCGTAATTCGTGTTAATTTTAACCTCAGTCACGACCCCTGATATACTCTATCATTGCATGTCATTTAATCAGACATGTTTACTTTGAATAGTGCGACAATTATATTTACCTTATATATGTTGTATGGGTGTAAATTTATTTTTGATCCTTTATATACACTGCTACACATAAAAAGTCCTCCATGTTTCAAAGACACTTTTAGTCCTAATTAAGCTAAACATAAAATCTATAATCTATAATAATAACTAACATAAAAAAAGGAATATTAAACTGTATTTTTGTATGATAGAAGAGACAAAGAGTGGAAAAACAGTCAACATCCACTAAGCTTAGTAGAATCATATCTTACGTAAAAAAAGATTCTGAGAATTTAAAAACAACAATATAGAATAATAAACGAAGCAGCCATGACCTTTCTTTGTTTGGACAAAACAAGTGGGTGGAGATAATAACCTTTTTTTTCTTTAATCCAAAACCCTGAAAATGTTGAACAACAATCATACTAATAATAATATTAATAACTACGCTTCAATTCCAAACAAGGTTGATAGGAGACAATTTTCACCGGTAGAAGCTATTCAGACTTGCCTTTTGAGTCTCAAGGCAAATGCCTGTAAAGCCAAAAGGACTGCTTTGAGTTTGTGCTTGGTTTCTTCATGTATCAGCACACCGTTGCTGTCAAACTTTGGTGGTGACTCAAATGCAAACACAAAAAGTTCAGGCTTGTTAATGAAATGAAGATCAATGTAGATTCCAATTTGTCGAAGGTGATAGTGTGCTCGTCCTCCACCAAAGTTACCTCCCGCACTCACAATTGCTGCTGATTTATCCGCCCAAACATTAGGAGGTCGAGATGCCCAATCAATTGCATTTTTCAACGGTGCTAAATAAAAAAAACAGAGTAAAGAGTAAACTATATTGTTCAAATTTTATATTCATAAATTCAAAATTCTAGCTCCGACTCTAGGAAATTGGCCTAGTACCTGTGACGGAGTAATTGTACTCAGGAGAAGCAAATAAGAAACAATCAGCTTCTTCAATTTTTTTACGAAAAAACTCTACATCATCTGGATAAGTTCCGTTCACCTCAAGGTCCTCGTTTGTGAACGGCAACGACGATATATCGACGTACTCAATCTCCATTCCCTTTATAGAATCCTTGCATATCTCCATTGCTACGCGCAATTACAAATCATCAATCACACAATATCATTAGAAGGTTTTATATCTTAATTGTTCTGCTTAGAAATGTGGTGCAGTATTTGTTCCTTCCTTAATTAAAATTCGAGCCTTAGCTATAGAAAAATTCTTGATTTCCGCATTACCCCTAAATGAAGCCCTATTCAGCGTGAATCTAGATTAATTGAGCTCAAATATGAATACTAAACACCAGATGGAAAATAAAAAAATAAAAAACAATTCTTAAAAAGAGAAACAGAGGAGGGAGAAAAAGTGTACCGGCATTGAGGAGACCGCGATTATAGGAGGCTTCACGGAGGGAACCGCAGAGTGCTACTACCTTGATTACTGCTTCAGTCGCCATCGCCACTTTGGTTATTTTTATTTTTTCTTTCTTTTTTTAGTCTTCTTCTTCTTCTCTTGTAGTAATTACTTACTTTTTAGCATCACAAATTTATATACACGAATTAGGAAGACCTGACGGATGCCATGACGAACAGTGAAGATTTTTCCTGTCTTCTTATGAATACTATTCATTTGTATTCATCAATCATTTGGTTGGACTAATGTATGGATTAATCACCAAGATATTTATATATTAGTATTTTATACCGTGATTAGTAATCCATCTTTTAATTATGAAGTGGATGAATTAAAAACTTAAGATTTTTAAGAAGTGTTACCTTTTTCAAAGTAATTACAATTGAGGATATAATAGGTAAAAAAAATTGTCTTTTCGTGATTTGTCAAAATGGATAACTAAAAAAAATGAACAAGTAATTAGGAATAAAAGGAATAGTTATCAAAATTCAATCATAGGAATAATATTAAGAATTTAATATTTGCATAACTCATATCTAACCAAATGACCCTTTAGTTTTCCTTTTATCTCTCCACTCTTTTAAATTGAAATCAGGAGGGCTTTAATATTGTCATACTTTTTTCATTATCCTAAGCTGAAAATATTTTGTTTGACCAAATTACATATTAGTCGGAATGCGTATACAAATAGAGGTATAATTCACATCCATAAACCGGCTCAAGTGAAGATGACTGTTCAGATTTTATTAAAAGCCCATGATTCTCATCCTATACCGATGTAAGATTCATTCCATTCATCCCCCTTCACATCAAGACACAAACATTTTTTATCTGAACTTTTACCGCCTACCACAATTTGTCAAATTACAATTAGTTACGAATATCTACCAGTACAAAAAATAATTAACGGTGGTAATTATCTATTGTTAAATATTATTTTTTCCACATAGATAGGGGTTTTCTATTAAAAAAATAATATAATCTTTTGGGCAAGTTTTAAACTGGGTCAAATACCAATATATACCGGCAACAAAGAAAGAAATTAAACAAAATGGTCACATTTATATGAAATGTAATGTATTAATGTTGTATAAATAGTATATACCGTGTGTATATGATGTATTAAAGACATATATACATACATATACATGATCTATACAATATTTATATATTACATCCGTTCATTTTTCTCAATCAACAATTATATAATTTTAAATTTTGTGTTCAATCCAACATTGTCAAATGTCACAAAAAAGTGGAGAAAAGGAGTAATCTTCCATAATAATGAAATTGAAAATGAAGTATTAGAATCAAGATAATTAGAAAAGGGATCAATACATGTTAGAATCAAAAGAAGAAAAGGAAGAAGGAGAAATCATCAAGATGGGCCGAATGCACTTCGGCAGAAATAATTCGTTCTCCTGTCAATGAGGGCCCAGCCCATTATCAACAATTTTGAATTTGATAATGGACAAATAATTGGGGCAAGTGTGCAAATTCCGCTTTTGAAATCGTTATTTAATTTGTACTATTTTTTTTGTGTCGTAAGTTTATCTCTTTTGGTAACAACTTCAAACATATGCTATTGAAATTGAAAATTTATTTCAATTTTTAGATATTTTTGTAAGAAATGTGACTTTTGTG